CTTAATGACATAAGTCTCAAGTCAGTACCAAAATCTCTTAATGACATCTGTCTTAAGTCATTAATATGTACTAGTAACCATGCAGTTATCAAAGTGTGGATAGAAGATGATATTTTGAGCAATCCCACTGTTAGACTCATTTCATTATCATAGGAAAATTCGGTATATCATCTTTTGCTAAGTCATGCATCAAATCATGAGTTTTGCAACAAATTATAGACTCATCAGCAGTGAAAGAAAATGTCTTGATCGGTTTCACGTCTTGGAGGAAGGATCTCCAAACCAAATTACAGAAAACATATTCCCCCTTTTGTTCCAAACCCATTGTTTCATCTTCCTGAATGAAACCATTTGCCATCCACAGTTGGATCAACACTTCTTTGTCCATCTCATGGTCCTTTGGGAAAACTGAACAAAAGGCAAAGCATTCTTCATTTTAGGTAATAAGTGTCTGTAGCTCAATTTTAGTATAGGTATATCATCTTCGCCCCTGTCATTGTCCCCTAATTGCTTCTTGCAATTGTTTCTCATTCCTTGACTTGTTGCTTTGAACTCATCATACCACCCATTGTCTTCAAAGCAAGAGGAAGCCCCTTACATTTCTTGACAATAAGTTTGCCAGCGGTTACCAATTCAGCTTGCTGTTGTACCTCTTTACTGAATGCTTTCTTTGAGAATAATTCCCATGAATCATCATCACTCAGACATGCTGGGTTATGGTATTCTAGGGTGCCCATTATAGATGCTACTCGCTGGCTCTGAGTTGTCACTAGTATAACACTTCCATCACCACCACCAACAGAAGACAGGAGTGGCTTCAGGTCTTCCTCCCACTTCTTCTTTTCTTCATTCCATACATCGTCCAGCACGAGCAGAAACCTTCTCCGGCCAACGGCCTTCTGTAGTTCCTTTTGCAACAACTGGACGGTTTCAGGCAGTTAGCATGCTTTGTTTGTAGCCAATTCAATGATGGATTTCAGAAGGGAAACAACTTCAAAGTTGTCTGACGCACAGTGCCACATCTTTAGCTCGAAGTGATTCTAAACCCTGTAGTCATTGTAGACCATCTTGGCAAGCGATGTCTTGCCTAAACCCCCCATCCCCACAATTGGGCCCACTTGTGCTGATCTCGCTGATTGAGCAACAGTTTGATCACCACTACCTCCTTGTCGTCGTCTCTGCCAAAGATATCATCTAATTCATTTGATGGCAGCACTGAGTACGTCTGCCGGTAAGAAAGTTGTTGTGGCTCATCTCGCAGCAACAGGCCAAACGTGTTCATCTCTTCAACCAGCTCGTTGATCTTCTTGAGCACTTTGGCAAGCTTCCTTCTCATGGTAAAATGGAACTCTAGGGGGGTCATGTAGCTCCGTACCTTGTGCCCTAGCGACTTGAGGCTCATGGCCTCGCGGTGCAGCACCTCGTACTGGAACTCATCGAGGACGTCATCGGCCTCGTCATCGGCGGTGTTGAGGTCCTTCATCCAGCGCTTGATGGCGGGGTTGGTCTCGCTCTTCGACTCAGCGTCGGCCAACAGGCGCTCGACGGCCAGCAGCTGCCGCTCCAGCTTGCGGCGGTCGCCGTCGACGCCATACATGCGGGTGACTTTCTGGACAAGCGCGTCGGTCGCCTTGCCGATCACCCCGTGCACTACGGGGAGAAGCAGCGATTCTGCCATACAATTGCTCTCTTTCACAGGCTGTCTGCTACTCTCTCTGCTACCTATTGATGATACACCCAAGAAGCAAAGCAAGGAGGCTATGAGTCCTCTGCTCTGGCCTCATCCAATCTAAATCGTAGCACAAGTCAAGATGATATTTTTGGCTGTCACCGCCTTCAATGATTCATATGATTCTCAAGTTGACTGACTTTTGTGATGTTGTCCCTTCAGGCCTTCACGGTGCAGGAACGTGGCATCTCGCCACGAAGGACAGCTGCTAACGTGGCAGTGGGGGACCATTTCTTTGTGAGGAACACGGGACTAAGGCCTTGTTTAGATCCCAAAAATTTTTAGCTAAAAACGTCACATCGGATGTTATGACACATGCATAGAGCATTAAATATGAAAAAAAAACCAATTATACAGTTTGCATGTAAATTACGAGACGAATTTTTTTAGCCTAATTGCGACATGATTTGACAATGTGATACTAAGTAAACATTTGCTAACGATGGATTACTTAGGCTTAATAAATTCGTCTCGCAGTTTACAGGCGGAATCTGTAATTTGTTTTGTTATTAGTCTACGTTTAATACTTCAAATGTGTTTCCTTATACTTCAAAAACTTTACATCCCTAGAACTAAACACACCCTAACTTAAGACATGAGAAGCTCAACGGAAAAAGCAGATAAAAGCATGGAATCCAGGCTGTAGACCATCACCCCCACCTCCCCACCATCGAAACAAACCTCTCTCTCCACCGTCGGGGTCACCGTCGCTCTGGATCCGTGCCGCCACCGTCGCCCTCGGCGCTCCGTCTCCTTGTCGCCGGCCGGAAGTGGAGGGCGCCGACGAGCTCTCACGCCGGATCCTCGCTGCCACCGTCGTCCTCCGAGCCCTCGTTGCTGGCTGGGAGTGGAGGGCCCCAGAAGCTCTCGCGCTGCTGCCGTCGCCCTCCGAGCCCTCGTTGCCTCCCGGGAGAGGAGGGGCCCCGATGAGCTCCCGCGCCGCCGCCGTCGCCCGTCGAGCGCTCGTCGCCGGCAAGGAGAGGAGGGGTCTCGGCGAGTTCTTGCGCCTCCGCCGTCGCCCTCCGAGCCGCTGTTTGGGAGGAGGTTGGGGAGCCGCCGTCCTTTGTTGGAGCTCGCTGTGCTGCCAGCCGTCATCGAGTTGTGGTGGTTGGGGAATAGAGAGAATGATGGAAGGGGAGAAATTGTATCCTTGTTTCTGAAATTGAGGGTGTTTAGTGCTAAATTTTATACGTTATGTAGTTTAAAAACATGTGAGGACTAAAATAGAAGATGGCAAAAGCTGACATGAAAAGCTAAGAACACCCTTAGGGCGTTCACAATGCGCCGATGTGGCGTTCAGCCTCCCTCCCCAAAACCAAATATTTGTTGCCACATCGTCCATCCGCGTGGCCTCCTCAAGAACGCGGAGTAAGTTTTGGCTACGAGTTCCTCATCTCAGGCGGCGGGACCCACACGTACCAGAGGAGAGAGGGGAGAGGAGCGATGATGAGGGAAGATGCAGTGGCCAGAGTGAGGAGGGGAGATGCAGCGGCGTGAAGCCATCCCCAACCATGCCACTGTCGTCGCACGCGTGCAGTACTCGAACTCGGCCACTGCCATCATCACTCGGTGGTATGCTCACCCGAGCGCAATGGCATGGAGTGCAGCTCCGGCCTCCGGGCACGATGGCGGGGATGACAAACAAAGGCGAAAGACGTGCGCCATGGCGGCAAGGGAGGGCCTGGAGATGGAGACGGCGGCGCCCTGCATTGGTGTAAACGGAAGGAGACGAATGAGCTGTAAATTTGACGGGAGTAGGGGTGAAAACGGTACGGAATATTTCCGGATTCCGGGTAGGTTTTCGAAAACGGAATCGGCCGATCGGAATTTTTCAGAAACGGAAACGAATACGAAAATATTTTCTCGGAAACGGAATCGAAAATGATAAGAGCAGTTTCCGTCGGAACTCGGAATCGGCCAGAAACTTTCCGAAAATTCTCTCGGAATTTCGAAGTTACAAAGTCCATAATACCTCCCGCTTGCCTAGCCCAACCCACTACAGCTAACCCTAGTTGAGGAGAGTGAGAGTCAGAGGCAGAGGCTAGGGATTTTGGAGCAATGGTAGTGCATTGTGTGCACCACGCAGGCACGCCACACGCAGCCAGATCTGGCGCTGTCGGCCGCCGTCCCCCTACGCCGCCGCCGTCTCGCGCCACCGCCGTCTCGCGTCGTCCTCCCCCCGCCGTCACTCGCCGTCCCTGCCCCCGGCGTCTCGCCCCTCTCTGTGCTTCACCGTCGCCGTCCACGCCGCTGACACCAATGCCTCAACGCCGATGCCCACTGGCGACTCTTCCTCACCACCACCAACACCGATGACGCCTCGCCGCCTGACCTCGCCGCCCGACGCCCGGGCGTCGTCCCCCTGCCTCGCCGCCGCCCCCCTCTCTGCCTGGTCGAGAAGCACAAAGAAGCAGAGAAAGAAAAGAGATAGGGAGAGAGAGAAAAGAGACAAGGAGGAAAGAGAGAAATAAAAGAAAAGAAGATAAAATAAAAAGAGAGTGGGACCCACGCCTCTCCCTCAGCGCTTGACTCATCTTGGACCAGCTTATAGTCGGGCCCCATTAAAATATTTCATTTGATATAATTGTATTTTACGATGAATTGTTGACCGTTGAGACTTGAGAATTGGACTTGATAAAAGTTTGAAGCTCAGTTTAAAAGGTTTTTTATTCCGATAAATTTTCATTACCGTATCCGCGCCTGTTCGTTTTTGTTCGGTATCGATAATATTTGTTTCCGGGGTTTCCTTTTTCGATTCCGATTCTAAAAATAATATGAAAACGAAAATAATAAAGATGGTTTTCGTTCCGTTTTCACCTCTAGACTGGATTAGTATGAAATGAAGAAATTCGCTATCCTAGTGGTAAAATCTTTTAAAGTCTTACGAATTGAGTGCTAGACTCTTAGGCTGTGTTCGGACGTCCATTGTCCCAACCTATCTCCCTCGTTTTCCGCGCGCACGCTTTTCAAACTGCTAAACGGTGTGTTTTTTGCAAAAAGTTTCTATACAAAAGTTGCTTAAAAAAATCAAATTAATCCATTTTTGAAAAAAAAATAGCTAATACTTAATTAATCACGCGCTAATGGATCGCTCCGTTTTCCGTGCTACTGTTCCAAGTTGGGAACAACCCATAGCGAACACAGCCTTAAAGTTCAGCGTATTAGATTGTACATAATGAAATTTCTCCCACACCTCCCAACCCAAATCCGTCACCCGCCGCCGCCGACAAAACCCTAGACCCGCCCCGCCGCCCCCCGCCCCCCGCCCCCCGCCGTCGTCCCATCCCGCCGCTCCCCCACCGTCGTCGCATCTCGCCGCCCCCCCAATCCATCCTCCGGACTCCCCACATCGCCGCGCCGGCGCCCACATCGTCACCGTCGACCGTTCGACACCGCCGCCCTCCTCTCTCTCGCACTCATCCCGTCACCCCGACGCCGCCGACTCCTCCCTCCTCCCTCATCGCGCCTTCCTCTACTCGTACCACCGCCGAAACCCTAGACCCGCACCGCCCTCGACCGCCGCCCGTCGCATCCCGCCTCCTCCCCGAGTCCGCGACAACTATTCCCAAGGTTGGTGTACTCCCCGTCCTCTTTCTCCTAGGTCTCTAAATCTGCATATTCACATGTTAGTCTCATCCGTATGGTAGTTTTTTTTCTTTGGTTTCATTGCCGTCATCCGTAAGTTGACATTTATCGTCAATCTTTCACTGTAAAATTGTGGCTAGGAAATGGTGTGCCTCTGATAGTATGTGAGACAAACCTATAAATTAATAGCCGCACAAATAGAAAAAAAAGCAGTTGTCACAGGAATGCTTTGGTGCCGTTTCATTATTCCTGTTCTGGCTATTAGAATTCATTTGGCTTTTGCCACTGCAATTGGCCATATTCTTACTTCCAGTGTCCTTTGGTAACAATATTAGCTCAATGCACAATTCTGTTTTTCTATTGATTAGAATGATACAAGGTTTTTTTTTCAGGTCATGAACAAAATGCAGTTGCACTTTTACTTGTTTTATTACTAATTCACTAAGTTTAAGTCACTTTTGTTCTGGTAGATATATTTCCTTAATCTGTACTCATTTGTTGTTTGATGACTCTAATCGATGATCATTTATGCACATTGTGACTTTCTAGCTTACCATTTGATGTTATGGTTTAAGGCACAGAGGAGTAGCGAAACATGATCCCCTTTATCTAGAAGTCACTAAGTCAGTGAGCCCCACCTTTATTTGTGAAGACTACTTGTTAGCTGTTACTTTGTATTCAGGATTGGCAGTTTCAGTAACAGCTTTAGGCTTAGTTCGTTTCCCCTCGTTCCCAACTGCCCACTCTCGTTTTTCGTGCGCATGCTTTTCAAACTGCTAAACGGTGCGTTTTTTACAAAAAGTTTCTATACAAAAGTTGCTTAAAAAAATCATATAGATCCAGCGTCATATATACAAAGATGGTGGTAGTATAAATTTAGTTAGTTTTATTTCGATAATAAAACGAACGAGCGATATCGTAGCGAACACTCTTCGTTTAACTTATGATATTCTATCAAGCCCATTTAAACAATGATATTATAACGAAACACTTCTCTATCTCTGCTATTATAAAAATTGAAGATGTTTTTATCGGTATTTTGGTACGTCATCCGTGTTTGAGTTGTTTTTTAAGTTCGTACGCTTTTAGAAATACAGATATGTGTTTGAGTTAGATTTTAAGCTCGTTTTCTTTTGAAAATACAAAAGGAGTCGTATAAGAAATCTTTTTTTTAAAGAACACTCACATGCTAACTTGAGATAAAAGTTGGACTTGTAATTGTAGCTTGTGATTTTCTTAAAAAAAAAATCCAAGCGAATTCCTATAGTGAATTTTATCCTATCTAAACCGTATAACAATAATAATGTTAAAATAGTATTCACCCATTGCAATGCACGAGTATTTTTATAGTATATGTAAATTTATCAATGTTCACACCACAACTCATCATTCATGATTAGCCAGAGACAAACATCCATCAGGTGCCCCATGAGGCCATATGTGAGTCGAACACGGGACACGGGAAGATCCGAGCAGTCATAAATCAACACGGATTGAAACTGCCTAATTCAATGGAAGCTTCCAAGCGCAGCCGCCGAATCCTCCATCTCCGGTCAGCATAGCTCCCGCTCGGCCGCGCCGCTCATCCCTCACCGGCACACCGCACCGTCCTCCACCGCTCGCCGTCGCCGCCGAGAAGAGGGACACAGCTGCCGTGCGCGTCCGAGTGGATGTGGTGTGAGGCGGCCGGGTTTGAACTAGCCAACGTCATATATACGAAGATGGTGGTAGTATAAATTTAGTTAGTTTTATTTCGATAATAAAACGAACGAGCGATATCGTAGTGAACACTCTTTATTTAACTTATGATATTCTATCAAGCCCATTTAAATAATGATGATATAATGAAACACTTCTCTATCTCTGCTATTATAAAAGTTGAAGATGTTTTTGTCGGTATTTTGGTACATCATCCGTGTTTGAGTCATTTTTTAAGTTCGTTCGCTTTTAGAAATACAGATATGTGTTTGAGTTAGATTTTAAGCTCGTTTGCTTTTGAAAATACGAAAGGAGTCGTATAAGAAATCTTTTTTTAAAAATCACTCACATGCTAACTTGAGATAAAAGTCGGACTTGTAATTGTAGCTCGTGATTTTCTTAAAAAAAAGTCCAAGCGAATTCGTATATAACAATAATAATGTTAAAATAGTATTCACTCATTGCAACACGTGTATTTTTATAGTATATGTAAATTTATCAATGTTCACACCACAACTCATCATTCATGATTAGCCAGAGACAAACATCCATCAGGTGCCCCATGAGGCCATATGTGAGTCGAACACGGGACACGGGAGGATCCGAGCCATCATAAATCAACACGGATTGAAACTGCCTAATTTAATAGAAGCTTCCCAGTGCAGCCGCCGAATCCTTCTCCATCTCCGGTCAGCATAGCTCCCGCTCGGCCGCGCCGCTCATCCCTCACTGGCACACCGCACCGTTTCTATCGCCCGCTGTCACCGCTGAGAAGAGGGACACAACTGTCGTGCGCGGCCGAGTGGATGTGGTGTGAGGCGGTGAGGCGGAGGGAACGCGGGGAGCTTGGGGCACGGCGCTTCGAGACCGCCGCCCGGGCGCGCCGCACCGCCTCACTCGCACTCTCCAACCGCAAGGAGTTCACCACCCCGCACAACGGCGCCGTCAACTCTCTCCAGGTACACCCCCTTCTCACTCCCTCACTCCCCTTCTCCTTCTCTCACCTTAGTGGTTTAGATCAATTTGATTTGTACACCCTGTAGATGGAATCTTGCGTATTTGGTGTGCAATTCCTGAGTCGCTCCCGCTGGTGTTTTGTAATTTGACAATATGGTCAGGTTGATTTGATAGAGCGGCGGTACCTGCTCTCGGGCGCATCGGATGGATCAGCCGCTATATTTGATGTGCAGAATGCGATCGAATACGAAGCTGGGTTCATTGCCAAGCATAGGAGCATTCTCCTTGTGGACAAGCAGCATGAAAATGGCCACAAGTTCGCGGTATCTATGGCCGTATGGTATCCTGTGGACACTGGGCTGTTTGTGACAGCTTCTTTTGATCAGTATGTCAAAGTGTGGGATACTAATTCGACTCAAGTATGCTTTCATCTGCTTTGTCGATTGCTAATTTTTCTTTTGTCTTGCCTCCTTTGTGGTGGCAATGGTGTGATCCTGATGTTCTGATTTTTTGCCTGGTTTTCTTTTCTAGGTCGTAATGGATTTTAAGATGCCTGGAAAAGTGTACAGTGCAGCAATGTCCCCAATTGCAACAACACATATGCTGATCGCTACTGGAAGTGCAGATGTTCAGGTCCGTTTATGTGATATTGCTTCTGGAGCCTTTACCCACACGTTGTCTGGTCATCGTGGTTAGTTGCTTACTTCTAGTGTAGTGATGAAAATATGCTTGCTTTGTTTGTATGGTTACCACCTTATCCTTGGTATCTGACATGTCAGATGGTATCATGTCTTTGGAGTGGTCTACTTCAAGTGAGTGGATTTTGATGAGCGGTGGTTGTGATGGAGCAATACGATTTTGGGACATAAGACGAGCTGGATGCTTTCTTGTTCTTGATCAATCACGGTCTCAACTAGGAAGGCGGCCTCCTTTTCTTGAGGGCACCTCAGATAAGGTATGGTCACCATTATCCATCACTTACATTTGTTTTCAAAATATTTGGTTGCAACGCTAAAGCTGGACTTCCACTTTTATTTTCTGCAAAAGCTTCAAAAATGTTGCAGCTTTAAGTAAAACATTATGGTTGTAATGCTACAGATCAATACTGTCAGCCTTCAAGTAAAAGCTGATTTCTGCGGCTATTAATTTATAGGTTTGTCTCACATATTAGTGTCAGTATATAGGTGCTATGGATCAGTTTAGTGCTCCAATTCTTACAATATAAGGTCTGCATACATTGTTTCTTGTTGATTGTTGTGCCCTAGAAATGACGCGCAAACTCATTGATCTAGTTGTGCAAATGATCAATGTATTCATTTTTAATTTTGACTAGGATCCTTTGAACTCTTTACAACCTTCATCTTCTTCAAAGATTTACTCTGCACAGCAGAGGACAGGCAAGAGTAAGAAACAGTCACACAAATTGCACAAAAGTCAAATCCCTGGACATGGACATATCCAACAGAGATTGCACCCTGGTTTGTCTTCTAGTCAAAATCGTGCAACGGCGCATTATGGTGCTGTTACGGGATTAAGAACAACTACAGATGGGATGTACCTTCTTAGCTCAGGTTGATTGAATTTAATTGCTATTTCTATGAGCATTCGATTGCTATTGCTTGAAAGGAATTATTGCCTATGGCTATCTTCTTGTTATGCCTGTATGCAGTATGCATTAATGATTGTTATCCTCTCTCTTCAGGTTCTGATTCTCGCTTAAGACTTTGGGATATTGATTCAGGCTGTAATACTTTGGTCAATTTTGAAGCTATGCGATTACAGACTAGCAAACCACTACAATTAGCTGTCACTGAGGATCCATCACTTGTATTCATCCCATGCATGGCAAGCATTAAGGTGTGGTCATTTTTTAGCTTCTCAGTTTGGACGCTGAATTTTATACTTCACCTTGTGTTGCCAAATTCATGTAGGCGTACAATTTATGGTCTGGTATGACATTTCAAACATTCCGTGGGCACTATGAACCTGTTAATTGCTGCTACTATAGTGCACAAGAACAAGTAAGTCTTCCCTCTACTCCTATCCTCTGTTAACCCTGAATGTTCCCGCATCAATACCATTGCTGAGTCTTTTGGAATTCAGGAGCTTTATACTGGCAGCAATGACAGGCAAATTCTTGTGTGGTCTCCATCAACTCCAGCATTTACTGAAATGGTATATTTTCTATTTCTTGTTATCATATATCTTTCTGTAGAATTTTCCTACATCCTATCAAATTCAAATTTCTCAGGAGTAGTCGGGCATATTGGGATATTATTGCATAAGCTTTTTTAGGCATTTGATTGTTAGCACTGCTAAACCTCTGCAGGAAGATGATGGCAAGAGGCAAATGGATTTTGTAGTCGATGAGGATAACTGGAGCGACTGAGAATTATGCATGTATAGTTGTATTGTACACTAAGAACATTGACATTAGGGATGTTAACAGGCCATGTTTTTTTTTCTTTTTTTAAGGGAAGCCACGTTTATTACTATTGTACAGTACTTCATCCTGCAGTTTCACCCGAAATATCACTTTGATAAAGACAGCTAAGTGAAATGTAAATATGCCAAATTCTCTCTCCAATAATGAAAATGCTCCTATATCGTGTTTACCCAACTGTTATGATATCGTGTTAACAAAGATACATCAGATCTTCTCTTTATCTGGTAAGGAGCAAGGACAGAAATGCTCCTATGTCGTAGGGTCGTGCTCCCTACGAGAACTTGAGCACAGCAGCGAAGAAATGCCTCAACACATTGCTGTTGATTTGTTTAAAAAAGCTTCGACAGCCTAACAACTCAACAATCCTTAAAAAGAGTAGTACATATTATGAAGCAACAAGGCTGTATGACTTCCAAAACTTAAACAGCGATGCATGAAATCCCACCTAATATCGTGCAGTTTTTTAGCTGCATCAATAATCTGTGCGATCTTACATATGTTACAGGAAATGAATAAGAATAGCTATCAATTACAATTACAATTACAACAGATTTTGCGAATCTGGATCGCCAAAGGCACATATTGCACTTATTTCAGAGTAATGTGGAGGAAGAATCGCATGGAGTGACAATATTTTCTATTTTCGAACCAACATGCAATGAATTGCTGGTCCCAAAACACAGAGAACCTCGCAGCTCAGGTAAAGCTTCAGTCCATAAGGCTATACAGCTCCGTCGGGAGTTCCAAAGATAGGCCCTCTTTGAAAGATTAGCCCAGGGCTAATTTTGAGAGCTAATGTTTAGTCATGAATTGGTAGGCTAAACATTAGCCTAGGGTGGTATGTTTAGATCCATGGGCTAATTCAAGGCTAAAAGGTGGAGAGAGAGTAGAAAGAGAGGAGAGAGAGAAGGAGAGAGAGAGAGAGCTGCTTTTTGATGGTCCCCACACGAAATTAGCCCCATTAGTACCCCTTAGAGGGGCTAATGTTTTGAGGGGGGCTAATTCATATTAGCTCAAAATTAGCTCACCTGTTTGGATCTCTGAGGGCTAATTTGAGGCTAAAAGGTGAGGGCTAAATATTAGCCCATGAACCAAACAGGGCCATAATCTGTTATATTGCAAGCACAGTGCAAGAAGTTAATACATATAACCCAAAATGGACATGGTGATCAAAATAACAGTAGAGGAAAGAAACGGATGAAACATACCACAGCATGCAACAGTTTATTGTGTAGATGGACACATGCAGATTTTCCTGATATACAAGGAGATTCCTCAAGTGTGCTCTTGTTCCTTAGATCCTCTGACACCGGATAATGCCTGCAGCACCTCCATAGCACAACCATTTCTCGCTACCTTTATTCATGGTCCATCTCAACCGATGCATTGCTACAGCTTTAGGAGGAAATACCTCAAAATTTTCAGGGGATTCGCTACCCCTGCTGGTGCTTGTGCCAAAGTTCTCTTGCATTGAAGGAGCAGCTAAAACTATGGCACCAGTTTCTTGTCCTTCATCAGGTTCATCTTGTTGACCATCTCTGATGCTCGGATTTATAGCACAATTGCATTCTGTATGGTGGTTAAGCAGGCATGTCAGGTACAAGCAAAATGATACAAGTTGCAGGTGACAGCGATTACCTGAGTTGGTAAGAAGTTTCCCTTCTTCTATAACATGCAATTGAGCTACATCTTTGCAAGTTTTAGTAGCCCGTTTGGTCTCCAGAGGAACATTTGACAAAGGAGAGTTTGGTAATGCGATACCAATTTTAATGGTTGTTCCCTCTGATAATGAACCACAAAGAAAATATGGTACACGGTTTCTCCCAGGTTCCTTTTCCTAGAATCTCGGAGTAAGCTACAGTAAGTTGAATATTTATTTAGCAATGTTATAGAGAATCACAATAGCATGCATAAATCAATAGTTTATGTGCTGTTTAGTTTACCTCAAAGCAAACAGCAGTTCCATCAGCCACACAATAAGCCGCATAGCCTGGATATCAGCAAAACAAAATTACAAATTCATGAACTATCATGAATATATATTTGACATTTTTACTCTGCTCAAATGTGTGGAACTAAATATTGATATAAGGCTATAACCAATATTCCGATACTTGACATCTACTATGGTTGGACATGAGGTGAAATGCACCTGTAATTTCTGAGGCATGGACACTCCAGATCAAATATTCAGGCAATTGATAGGTAGAAACACCCTGAGTTTTCGTTCCAACAAATGGCCTTCCAGTAACAGGAACATCATTTGCGATTCTTAACAAGCTAACGAACTTTAATGCGCCATCTTCCAATGATATGACAATACCTCTGAACACAAAGATAAAAAATATAACAGTTAACATTACCATTCTAGTAAAAAGGGTATGTCTGGCATATATACACACAATATCACCATGAATGAAACAATGTGGTCTATTTAATCACGTCTACTTTGATCCAGTAATACATCAAGACCATGTCCAGTGAAGGAAGCTTGCATCTCATTTAGAAGGTACGTGGGCAAATACAAACATTTATATTAATAATTATGTAAACAAGTGCAAATAGAGCGTTTGCAAAAAAAAAGTGCAAATAGAATTACTTAAAAAAATACGCTGATGCTTTAATGGAACTAATTATATAAACAAAGACAATATCCACCTTAGCACACACTAACGGAGAAGTACAGGCCCTATGAACATAAATTACATGACTAAAATAATTGTCAACATTCTAGCAAATATGGTTTCTAGTATGTGTTCCAACATTAATGAAAACATACATCTCCATTTAAAATTAGTGCAGTGTTTCAAAGACAAGGAAAACAACGTAAACACCGTGTTAGTGAAGAAAAACAAGTACATTTAGTGCTTAACAAATATTACCTTGCATCCTTCAACCATTGAAGACTTATTACGGCCCTTCGAGCAGTAGTTAACTCCCAAAGATGACGATATGGATCTCTGCAGCAAAGATATCTTATGAGATGCACTAAAATTCCCAAATATTACAAAACAAAAACGGTAGAAAACAATAGCAAATCCAAGGGGGCTGTGACAGGTAGTGATTTAACCATAACAATCAGTATATTCATAGCCAAACATACTGCAGCTTCTAGAACAAGTTTCTTAGTGCCCATTGAAAAGCTAAAGAAAAAAACCGTATATCGCACTGGATTCATAAAGAAACTCCTACTGACATCATTGGTCCATGTGATAATAACATATTCTGCATATCGTGCCTATCTTTTGTTTGTTAACTCGGAATTTTTACCATTAGGAAACAAACAGAAACAAATATGAATGGTTCAGAAATTGGGAGGTGCCACGAATTCAGAGAGGAAGGGGGAGAGACTACCCTCAATGTTCAGACCTCTGAGGACCCATACATAATATTAGAAATTCATGCAGGATAAGAGAGTAGTTCGAAAGATGTTTTAAACATTGCTTCAGTTCACAACAAGGCCAACACCTACCTTAAATCCCCGAATTTCAGACCATCCTCTCCACCAGTGACAAAGGTATTCACGTTTTCCTTACTGATAGAATGACAAGAGTCAAAACTCAAAAATTATCTTTTGGAATAGACCAGAGTAACAGTACAACTGGCTACCTCACAGATGGTGCCCACGACACGGTTCTGATGGGAGCAGATTCAGCAGTTACACACATAAAAGGTTTTGAACCTGTTTATCAACAGAACACATGATTTAGTTTTGTTTGAAAACAGAACAGAATAAGAAAAGCGAAGATTTGGGAACTCCAGTAACTGGCTGCTTTTAAACCAGTAAAGCAGTTCTACAGTCAGACATGTTGTCGGTAAAGCAGTTCTTCAAACTTCCAACTTTTCCATCACATCAAAACTTTCATACACACACAAACTTTCAACTTTTACGTCACATCGTTTCAATTTCAATCAAACTTTCAATTTTAACGTGAACTAAACACACCCTAAAGCAACCTGGAATATAAAAAAGTCAATCACAGAACTTTCAGAACAGCAACTTGAAAGACTCAAAGGTCACATGATTTAAGATAAGAAAATAATTTTGTTGGGTAAGGAAAAGGTACCGTTCCATCGTGACATCCCGCTAATAACATATCATGAGAGGGTGACCAATCAACTGTCAAGGGAATGCTGTTTACCATTATAAAGAGGCAATGGCTTCAAAATTAAAGTTCATGCTGAGGAATTTAGAAATATATCCAAACCTTCCACCTAGTTTGAGCTACTACTAGCAAAAAAAAAAAAAAAAGTCTACAGGTCCAATACCTTTGTCTGTTCCCGCACTTTACTTAGTTCATTCTAGGTTTTCGGTGCCATCGTCCTTTGCTATGTTATATCTAGGTGCATGCATTTCCCTTTATAACATTTTCGTTTGGAAATACATGTTAGCTTGTTTTGTTGTCATTTCATTTAATAACAGAATACTCCAGAAAAAAAACTTGTTAGACTAGCTTAGTAAGGTTAGCATTCCTACAATCCTATGCATATATTTATTTATCTTTACATAGAAGATTAAACATTTGTTTTCATTATTTGTGATCAGAAACAAGCAATGGGTCAAATTTATAGAAATGGCATGCCAAAACTTTTAGAAATTTTCCCAATTTTCTAGCTTTTTTTTTTCACTATTTTCCACATTTTTAGTAAACAATTTTTTTTTGAAATTTCACATTGGTTTCTTGACAAAATCAATCGGTTTTCGATACAAACAGATTGATGTTTTCACTTCCAACTGTCGATAAGAATTTCAACGTTTCCATTCGAAATTTTGGTAAAGCCAATCGATTTTTGACACAAAGACCGACCGATATGAATTTGTTGGTTTTCAATCGGATTTCGTGAAAACCAACGTGCTGCCAGCGTTTGGCATGGAAGGTGGTATCGGAATTGTGAACCCTGGTGGTGGCCATGCTGGTGATAGCCTGCTGTGCTGTTTTCTCTTGCAAATCTGATCCTTGCATCAGGCTCCAAACCGATTACCATTCATATTACAGCTAGATACTCCATGTGTTGGTTCGTTTTGTGGCAAGATTCTTCAAATAGAAGTATTACTGGTACATGCATGTATACTGATACAGCAATGGTGCTAGCAATGTGAACAAATCTTACCTACTAGAATATGTAGATGAAAAAGAGGTCTGTTCATTTTGCCTAGATACCTAATAGCACAGGTAAAAGCCTTCTACTTCGAACCCATAAAACACATAAGTTCCTCATTTGAAGTCACATCTGCACCGGATAGTTAATTGGTTACAACATGTATGTTTTTCGGATCATGCAAAACAGTTTCGTCCTTTGAATCATTAGAAAAAGAAGAGTACGAAGCAGAGAACACTAGAAACTGTAAAAACAAACTTGTATAAAATGACATGTTCACTTCTTCAGCCGATTTTCCATGCTTTGACATGTGCTCTTTCTTCCCATCTGTTTTTCTCGTTCCGTTCATTGTTGTGGCCTCACCAGAACGGCCACCATTATTAGAAGTAGACTCATTGCTACTGCTCACAGCCTTCACTTTAGCTGGTAGGCCTTTCTTCTTGCCATCTAATCTCTGCTCCTTGGTCCCTATTGTTGCAACAGGTGGGCATGATTTTCTTCTTATCCTGCCATTTTCTATTTTCTCACCTACATCCAATGCTGGCGCACGGCATGTAAATATAGATCTTGTTGTGGTCAGATTCTTCGGTGCATTGTAAGGGAGTTCAGGTTTCGTCACATTCTTGAGTCCACTTGTGGTACTGCCTTGGCTTGCGTACGTAGCATCTGTCAGAGTGTTTCTTGTTTGCATTCCTACTTGCTGTAGAAACTGTAGGTGCAGTTGCAGCAACAGGTTTGCCTGCTCATTATGCCTGCGTAAGTTGATCTCTTTTCAATTGTGCAAGGTTGGTTATTCTCAGTGGAGATGGATGGTGCAGCCCGTCTGAACAAGTTCTTTGATGATGAGTCAGGTGTGGGTAACCGATTTTTTTTTGTTGCCTTTGTCCTCCCAGAAAGCTCTCATGGATAAAGTCAAGATCAAGATAAGCTCTTCGATGAAGAAACAAGTTCTATTTCAGACGCGCTACATGACTGCTTTTGACACCTTTTTCATGTTGGTGAGCTGGCTAATTTGGAAGGAACGCAATATCAGAGTTTTCGACCAAAGAAGCAAGACGGCTAAGCACCTTGTGGCAGATATTAAAGAGGAAGTTGCAGTTTGGAGAGCTGCGGGTGTTTTTCAGTGTTGTGAGGAGTAGCCCGCGCCACCCACCCCCCCCTCCCCCCCGGTTTCTGCTCTCCAGGGGTGTTAGTCCCCGGCTCGACAGTTTAATGTTGTGTAAAATCTATAACTTTCCCCTTTCAATCTTAATGAAATTTGGTCGGCTCCTTCGCCGACCCGGCAAAAAAAAAAAAAAAAAGAAACAGGTTCTAGAAATGTGGTTTTCAGTTGAGGAGAAAAGCTGCATCTGGGATTTTTTTTTTAGATGTAGGATAATACAGAGCAGATAGTATACCCTGGAAGCTGAAGGTTTAACTGGTTGAGGGATAGGTTGCTTCTTCTGGAAAATCATTTGAGAGGAGTTGGTTGGTTTCCGTCTCTATGGAAAGAAACAGTGGTGTAACTGGAGGCGTCTTCAGCCTGAAACGAGCTGTGCTTCTCAAAAATAGTTCCAACAACACAGGTATATGATCTAGAACAAGTGAATTATAACCTACCTGTCATAATCATGCTTCTCATCCACTGTTATGAGGAAATCCTCCTTCCCTGATGGGGCTTTGCTGGTGTGGCCACCCATCACAGATTCAGATTGAGAGGAATACAAAAACTGCAGTGAGTTTATCCATCTTTGAATCACGCCTAGACATATTAAGAGATTGTGAATATGTCCATAACATTTCTGACAACATGTGTAGGAAAAATAGAAATGCAAGAGGCAAAGATCTCACCTTGGATAGCATCAAACTCAACAGAGTACTTGTGTTCCAGGAGGTTAATCGATATTATCTTTGTCACGCTTTTACAGCTCCCTGAAGAAAACTATGCTCTCATATTTCTCTTTATAAATTGCAGAGGGGACCTTAGACTTTTGCTCATCCCAGAAATCCTCCTGATGCTGTTCATCTTCAAGAACAAGCTATATGTTCGCTGCAGAAAAAGAATACAAAGATCACCAGAGGCATGGAGACTGCGCCTAAGTCACAAAGTTTACGTGAATACTACTACTCTAAAGAATACTACTACTCTCAATCAGCAGTGCAGATCTTGGGTAGATGTGGCCAAAGGGATGGCTGACGAGGCTTCTCTTTGGCATAAAGCAAACCCAGCGATTCCTGCGCTGCAATTCAGGAGGGAGGGTGTGTTTAGTTCACGCTAAAATTGAAAGTTTGATTGAAATTGGAACGATGTGACAGAAAAGTTGAAAGTTTGTGTGTGTAAGAAAGTTTTGATGTAATAGAAAAATTGGAAGTTTGAAGAAAAATTTTGGAACTAAACTCGGCTGGAGTTTGGTTGCCAAACTCAGTGCGATAGATAGACCTAGGATTAACTGTCAATGTCCTGTATCAGTCCCATGCTGTTTTTTCTTTCAAATGTAAATAACTTTTATTTCTCTTAATGGAAAAGATGCGCTCCTTGCGTATTCCTGAAAAAATATTACTACTCTAAAGGATCCAATTTTTCCGGCAATTCCAAAGCAAACTCCCGGCGCTTAGCTTATGTAATTAATTAATTAGCTTGTGAATAATGGCAGAGTGAAATAATGGAAGAGCAAAGCATACACACCTCACTTTGAGAGTGAGCAGGAGGGGAGGAGCCCCTTTACAAGCTTCTTCAGGCTTGATGTTGATTCCGTCACTTCTGTTTTGCTACTGGAACAACTATACGTGGAATGGAGGAGATCAGATCAAAATACTCGCCACCTTCTCTGCACCGTCTTTCCAAGCTAGGGCAGCCTGCTACCATTAGGTATCGAAGGGTCGGAATCTGATGGAGGAGACCCTGTGGAAATCTCTCTATCTCTGGGCACCCCCATAATCTTCAATTCTTCAAGGGAAATAAGGCCATCCATCCCATCAGGCAACTCTTTCAGGTCATGACAGTGCTCAAAACTCATAGTCTTTAGCCTGGCCAAATTTCCAAGGTTCGAAGGCAGTGCCACTAATCTGGGGCAAAGTAGCAGACACAGCTCCTCAAGGGATGCAGGCATCGTCGGAATATCCAATAGACTTTTGCAGTCTTTGATGTGAAACTTCTCTAGATAGTAGAGTGGCATGATTTCCTCCGATGATGAACCCTTTCCTTCAAGGTTATCACAGTGTTCAATAGACAGGGATCGAAGGTGAATCAAGCTCATGAGCTCCTCCATTGGCCAATGCACAAGGTCGTTGCATGCACCAATACACAAATCCTCCACAAAGGCAAAGCATTTCCATAGCCCAAGATGCATTTTGGATAAACCGGATGCAGCTGTGAAGAAGTTGAGGCCATATAGCCTCAAAATCCTAAGGTTTTCTAGTGGGCCTTGGTTTGTGTCGACCTCCAGAGTGGCCATTTGGTTATATGACGAACTAATATGTAGTTTCGTGAGAGATGGCCATGAGCCCAACGACATTCTCATAGACTCATTTTCCCGGTAAATGAGTTCAGACAAAGTGGTTAGATGTGCAAGTAAGCTCATTGCAAGACTGCAATATCCATATGTTTTCAATTCTTTTAGAACTGAGCAATCTGGAACACTTGCAAGTTTTGGACAATCAGAGATACATAGCGTTGCGAGCTTCGGAAACGTAACTAAGCTAGTATTGGCCTCTCCAGCAGTACTTTCTGTCCATTTCTCCAAGTTCGATAACTGGCTTAGTGTCATATCCTTTAACCTTGGGAAAATTTGTAGAGGGATGTAGTATCCTTCGGCTTTCACACCAACGACATTCATAAACAATGTGGTTAGATTCTCCATTTTAGATAAAGACATACACTCAATCGAGACCAAAAACCACACAGTCGATAGATCCTTACATCCTGAACAGTTGGAAAAGTGGAGAGTTGTTAGGCACTGCAACATTTGTGGGTCTTCCATCCATTGTGGGATCTTTAGGCCACTATATCCGTGTAGTTCCAAAATTTTGAGCTTAGCATGAGGTTTAAGCGACTCCAACACTTCTTCCTCGTTGCATCCCTTGTTTTCAGGCATGCAAAATTTGGTTTAAAGAAGATGACGAACCGGTTTAAAGAAGATGACGGCGTCGTCGGCATAGAGCGAATTATTTGGTGCTCTGCTCCACTGGTTAACTTTGTCAAGCAACCCGGCTGACATTGCTTTCTGCAACATAGCATGAAGAGTATCCATCACCAGGACAAAAAGAAGAGGAGATAACGGATCCCCTTGTCTTAGCCCCCTCATAGGCTTGAAGGGGTCACTTAAAGTGCCATTGATGTCAATCCTTGTTTCTGCAGTTAGGAGAAGAGCCGACACCCAACCTCTCCATCTCCTCCCAAAACCTCTGTGTTTTAACATATCCAAAAGGAAGCTCCATGAAACTGAATCAAAGGCCTTCGAGATGTCAAGTTTAAGGAGAACCATTGCTTTCCTCTGTCGATGAAATTATCTTGTCAGCCCTTGAACGAAAATGAAGTTCTCATGGATAGATTGGCCTTTGATGAACGATGTCTGAGTGCGAGAGACCAGCTCACCCATTCTCGGAGTGAGCCTCAGAGCGATGACCTTCGTTGCCAATTTGGCAAAGCCGTGAATGAGGCTAATAGGTCTATAATCCTTCAAAAGGGTAGAGGCCTCCTTCTTTGGCAGCAACGTAATAATCGCTATGTTCAGCATTTCCAAATTCTGAGAGTTGGCTGAGCAAAATTTCAGCAACGCAGCCATCACGTCCGATTTAATGATGGCTATGTTCAGCATTTCCCTTTATGTTTAGCATAAAGGCATGCAAAATTTACTACTACCCCAAGAAAGTACTAGTTCACTTAGATCTTGCTTCAGATGGAGATTGGCATCTTTTCCATTTTTCCTGCTATTTATTTTTCTCAAATTGTACAATTCCAACCTATTGGCAAGGTGATTCAAGTCTTTGAGCTCCTCAATTCCATGGCCAGGTTCAGTGTCCAAAATAAATGTTGTTAGAGTGCGAAGATTTTTCAGTGTCCAAAATAAATGTTGTTAGAGTGCGAAGATTTTTCAGTAGGCTAATATTTGGTGGCATCCGCTTCAATGGACAGCTAAAAAGATAAAGATGGATGAGCTTGCTCATTGTTCTCATACCTTCCAGTAAATATCTCAGTTTTTTGCAACGGTTCAGCCTTAGTGTTTGTAAGTTATACATCGTGCATATTGAACTTGGCAGCACATCCATGTCAGACCCAGAAAGGTCAAGATATCGTAGATGCTTTGGATTGATGACCTGGCTATGAAAAGAGCAATCATGCATACGGACAGTACCCAAAGCTCTTAATGACATCAGTCTTAAGTCAGTACCAATATCTCTTAATGACATCTGTCTTAAGTTATTAATATGTACTGGTAACCACAGAGTTATCAAAGTGCGGAGACAAGATGATGTTTTGAGCAATCCCACTGTTTGACTCATTGCTGATATGCAACGTCCGGTATATGCTTCCTGTGGGATTAACTGTTCTGAAATTACACTATCATCTGCCACATCTTTTACTAAATCATGCATCAAATCATGCATTTTGCAAACGGAAAAAAAAACCTTTCCTGTTTCACGTCTTGGAGGAAGGATCTCCAAACCAAATTACGGAAAACATATTCCCCCTTTTGTTCCAAACCCATTGTTTCGTCTTCCTGAATGAAACCATTTGCCATCCACAATTGGATCAACACTTCTTTGTCCATCTCATGGTCCTTTGGGAAAACTGAACAAAAGGCAAAGCATTGCTTCATTTCAGGTGGTAGGTGTCTGTAGCTCAATTTTAGTACAGGTAGTATATCATCTTCACCCCTGTCATTGTCCCCAGTATTGCTTCTTGCAATTGTTTCCCATTCCTTGACTTGTTGCTTTGAACTCATCATATCACCCATTGTCTTCAAAGCAAGAGGAAGCCCCTTACATTTCTTGACAATAAGTTTGCCAGCGGTGACCAATTCAACTTGCTGTTGTACGCCTTTATTGAATGCTTTCTTTGAGAATAGTTCCCATGAATCATCGTCACTCAGACAAGCTAGGTTATGGGATTCTAGGGTGCCCATTATAGATGCTACTTGTTGGCTCCGAGCTGTCACTAGTATAGCACTTCCATCACCACCACCAACAGAAGACAGGAGTGGCTTTAGGTCTTCCTCTCACTTCTTCTTTTCTTCATTCCATACATCGTCGAGCATGAGCAGAAACCTTCTCCGGCCAACGACCTTATGTAGTTCCTTTTGCAACATGTGAAACCATGTGTGGTTATAGTTCTTTTGTGATGGGAAATTGACAAGTACCGGATGTGAAACCATGTGTGGTTATAGTTCTTTTGTGATGGGAAATTGACAAGTACCGGATGTGCAAGAAGTGTGTGTGTGGACTAACGTTGGTCAGGTTGCGACATCTGTGCCAAGACAACGGTTGTTTGGTTCATGTGTGTGCAGGTGATCGGGGTCGATCTTGGTCAACGGCGGATCGGGACTAGACTCAGGGAGGAGTTGAGGTCCAAAGCGATCAAGGATGCCGGGTGACAAGATTGGACACAAGGTTGCACACGGTGGACGAACACCGTGTGAGGAGGTCTTTGCAACAGGCTTCACAAGGTCAAGTGTGCAAGCATCGGATTCGCGAAGAAATCAGAAGGGACTGTGCAAGTGCATTGCTGCTACAGTACTTGCTGTAGGTAGCATACATGCATGTACACGTACTGTACTTGTGCAAGGAGGAGCTTGCATTGTACTGGTTGCTACTAGCATGGCTCGGTGGAAAAGTCAAGCTAGCTAGCTGTGCATGTGCGCTGTGATTGGTTGGCAGGGAGGCCAAGCCAATCCAGCCGTTCCACGTGGCCCAAGATGGTGAATGGCTCGGCTCGGCAGGCCTGCATCGTCCAAGCAGCAATGGCCCAAGACGGCGGCCCATGGCGCATGGGCTCAGGAGGTGCAGGCAGCTTGCATGCGCAAGGACGCGCGCGGGAAAACCGTACGCGGCAACCTCCGTTTCGCGTGACTCGATCGGAGGCGGGTGCAGGAGCGCGGGACCCACACGCGATTTTGCAAGCGCGCGCGGGAGCGGCTCAGCGGGACGCGTGGCGGCTTCGGGCTGGTTGGGCGCTGGCGAGCGCGCGCTGAGGAAAAGGAGACGGAACGCGCACGACGCGGCTAGGCAACGTGGCAAGTTTGGATTCGTCAAGACGGAGAGCACGCGGATTCATCAGCAAGAAGACCATGTGAGGGTTCGGATCGATGAGGTGGCAATCATCTGGAGCTTTTCCTTTGAGTAGAAGGAACAATGGATGGACCAGATCTGTTCTGAGTTAGGGTTTCGCCCTAGGGGTATTTGAGACAATGTCTTAGGGGTCTTAGGCTATAAATAGAGAGATGGATGCAAGGGTGGAGGT